ATTCAATGATTCACTCTATGATTCAATGATTCACTCTAGGATTCAATGATTCACTCTATGATTCAATCTGGGGTTCAATGATTCATTCAATGTTTCAATCTAGGATTCAATGATTCACTCTATGATTCAATGATTCACTCTAGGATTCAATGATTAACTCTATGATTCAATGATTCACTCTATGATTCAATGATTCAATCTAGGATTCAATCTGGGATTCAATGATTCACTCTATGATTCAATGATTTATTCTATGATTCAATGATTCAATCTAGGATTCAATCTAGGATTCAATGATTCACTCTATGATTCAATCTATGATTAAATGATTCACTCAACGATTCAATCTGGGATTCAATGATTCAATCTATGATTCAATGATTCACTCTATGATTCAATGATTCAATCTAGGATTCAATCTGGGATTCAATGATTCAATCTGGGATTCAATGATTCACTCTATGATTCAATGATTCAATCTAGGATTCAATCTAGGATTCAATGATTCACTCTATGATTCAATGATTCAATCTAGGATTCAATCTATGATTCAATGATTCACTCAATGATTCAATCTATGATTCAATGATTCAATCTGGGATTCAATCTAGGATTCAATGATTCATTCAATGATTCAATCTCGGATTCAATGATTCACTCTATGATTCAATCTATGATTCAATGATTCACTCTAGAATTCAATCTATTCAATCTAGAATTCAATCTATATTCGCAAAAACGTTTTTAAAATCATGTTCCTCGAGTAAGTGAACCATTTAAGCTCCAACTCTTGAAGAGAGATGACGTACTTTGATGTGTACAGGCCTTTTGTAGAGCTCTTATGTACTTCTCATCCAACTCAACAGCAAGCTCTTCTTAATTCTGCATCAGCTGAGCAAATTCGATGCTTGTGTCATTGTATAGAAAATTTCACATATCCTAAAGAAATAAAGGACAAACTCAGACCTTTCAAACAAGATCTAGCTGATTTAGCGAACAGAAGTAGAAGTTTTAGAACGAAAAAGGAAATTCTTGTTCAGCGGGGAAGTGGCTTTCTGGAATTGGTACTTGGACAACTTTTAGAAGGCCTTGCAGAATTAGTATAAAATAATAAGCATGAAGGATATCTCCTCATTCCAATCATGGATACGACAAACGAGCATCTCCTGAACAGTGGAGACTTGAAGACATTCTCAAATATCTTGATGTTAATGATGAACACGAAGCCGAAGAAATCCTTCATTCTATTTTAACCTCTACGGGGATTTTGACTTGGAATGGAAAAGGAGAAATCGTTTACAGAGGACATAATATACGAGGAACTGACATTGTAGACCTTCTGAAATATTGCGTGACGCCTTATCATCCAGATATTCCCGAACCAACTGGATTGAGCATTTTTATAAAAGGTCTTGCAGAATTGGAAATTGATAAAAGTCTAATCGTAAATGGACATGTCCTTTCTGTGTTAGCCCACAAGTGGTCCCATCAGGATACACAATCTGATGCTGACGCAACTTGTAACAGTTGTAACAAAGATATATACATCTCCCATTTGAGTACGTGCCCCGTATGCACATGGACAGATTTTTATCCGAATTGTAAAAGCTGTCGCTGTATGATCTGTGATTTTCAAGTGTCCAAAGGAGATTTTACGCATGTAATCGCCAGCTGTCCACATTGTCGTCGAGGCGAAATTATAGATATCAGAACGGATAAAAGACAATCTTTTAACCATAAAATAGGCGACCAAAGTGATATTTGATTAGTTGACTGCGTGAAGTTGAACTGAACACATCAACATGCCGAGAGGTACACTTGTTGTAGACGAAAAACTACTGAGAGACCATTTCTTGAGACAGCAGCGTGGCGGAAACATCGCTGGGTTTAATGGTGCACGTTTTCAAAGAGGATACGGGATCGGAGGTATTTTCAAGAGCCTTGCGAGATATGCTATTCCTCTATTCAAACAAGGTGCTAAAGTTGTTGGCAAAAGAGCATTACAAGCAGCCACAGAAGTGGGTCAAGATATACTCCAAGGAAAAAATGTAAGAGAATCTGTAAAGACTCACGGAGGTGACGTTGTTAAAGACTTTGCCGAACAAGGAGCAAAAGCCCTACTACAACAAGCAGGGCGCGGAAGCAAGAGAAGGCAGGGCCAACGCAGTAATTTATCAACTACAAAGAGGTTAAAACTGTGTTCTCATATAACAGTCCCAGGACATACCAAATGGATTACGGAAGATGAAAGCAGCCACGATGATGAAAGCAGCTATGATGAAGAATCTGATAGCGAAAACCCTGAAACAAGTGACGATATATATTAGAAGCATAACTTTGTAAAACGTTTTGAAGAAATAAATGTATTTAAAAACTGAAATATTGTGTAAATTTTTGCCGGCAAAGCCCGCTCTTTCCGCCCGCGCGATCCGCCCGCCTGATTAGTGTACAAATATGTTGTACGTTAATATATGCATGCACCCGCAAAGCCACGCGCCTGATTTTAAGGTATACACCTGCGTTAAAAATAATCCCTATCTATCCATCGGGATACATTTAGTTATGCAAATTCGTATTGCCTTAATCCCCTTAATTACCTACACGCCTCCTAATGACCTAGCAACACATAAACAACGCAAATTTGCAAAGCTTAAAACATGTTTATTGATACAAATAACAGACGATAGTGTCAAAAATATTAGAACTAAAACTATTTGTTAAACTGTTCTATAAGTTTTTTTTCCATGAGTTCTTGATAAGCTTTCTTATGATCTGCCTCAAAACCTCTAAATCGTTCACCCGTCGCCTTCACAGAATACATGTAACTCGCTTTGCTTAATCAATATCAATTTCATTCCGTTTCAACTCATCAAAAATTATATCTATATTATCCATGATACCCTCACCACAACAATTGAACAGCAAATGAGACACACAGTATTTATTTCAGTAAATATATGCAAATTTACATTATTAGCTAGCAACGTATTATTATTACAAGAGGTCTATTTTATCAAGTTCACTTGTTAAACCAAATCTACGAAATTCATCATAGGCCTCCTTAGTGTTAGATTTAGAACTATTAAATGTCTCTCCTGTTTCTTCAATCATGTACTGGTATTGTAGTGGATTACTGAAGAGCACGATGCCAGTGTTGGTCACCCGAGGGCCTTGTTGCTTCCATTCGACTCAGACATTTTTTTTATTTTCTTCCCATTCTCGACTTCGCTCGCAGCCAATCTGTAATAGTTGTCCAAGCTAACACCTGTTTTCTTCTCGAATTTTTCCTTCCTTTTTGTCATATCTGCAAATATCTCACCCACAAGCATCTGCTTACAGTTCGACAAATATGTAAAGGTAGGGCCCTGCACTCGTTTAGGAACACCAACACTCAGAATCAATTGTGATTGCATTTGACGCAACAATATATCATACAGGGCATCGTCCCCACGAATAAATTTCGGTACCAAACCCTTTTCAATCAAAATGTTTTCCAAATCTGTAATTTGCCATTTCGCCTTTTCAATAGGTAAACCAACCCCATTCTCACACTCTGTACTCAATTCAAACGATTTACCACTCATCCACGAAGAAACAACCTCTTCCCACTTTGCTTGCTCCATCTCGACTGAAAAAGAGCGCGAAAATTTGTTTCCCCTCAAAAAACTTTATCTTCCAACAACCAATAAACGTTAATTCTACCAACAAGATAAATTTCAGCAGCTTGCCAAAAGACCTCCAGTAAGAACGTTGTCAAAATATAGACGATGCTTGTTACAAGAGGCTTGTCGATTTGTAATACAAACACTCATTAAATCAAACAACCAATCATAGTAAGCCAACATTAATCCCTCCATTGTATGATACACGAGGAGGGACGCTAAAAAATGCGTAGTCAGCAAGTTTCACATGTCCTTGTTTAAACCTGCCCGCGTGACGTCATTACTTACCTGATCCTCCCCGCGTGACGTCACTACGCACCCTCATTTGTGCGGCCCCCTTAATTACCTGCATATATAATGTGCGCCGCCCCCTTGCATAGTAATTACCTGCATATATAATGTGCGGCCCTCTTGCATAGTAATTACCTGCATATATAATGATGCGGCCCCCTGCGGCCCCCTAAAAATAAGGCCCGAACGGCCTCTATATTACTACTTATATATATATATATATATATATATATATATATATATATATATATATATATATATATATATATATATATATATATATATTATATAGTAGCAGTAGTAGAAATTTATTTATCCACGCTGACCCCGTCAACCGTAGCTGATTTCCACGGGGGGCGTGTGCCAGAAAATTATTTTACATGCAGAATATGATAAGGATAAGCTAAGCTATTACAGTAATATATAAATTTAAAAGATATAACAAATGTTTTGAGCTATTTACAGGTAAGTTATATTTACAAAGGTTACCAAGCACCAGTGTGAGCAGCGATTTTATTTCGAAAGGAAGAAAGTGACTTGCTTTCCCTAATTTCTTTTGGTATAGAATTCCAAATGTTTGCTCCGTCGTACATAAAACTATTTTTCATGCTATTTGTACGTGGTTTTGGTAAATAAAGACCACTTGAGACATCCCGAAGGTGGTAATTAGTTTTCTCACTCTTAAACGAAAATAGGTTTGTGAGTGATTTTGGGCCCATTTTGTTTAATAACTTATACATCATTCTTGCTTTAGTTTTCTTCCTTTCAGTTTGGAGTGGCTCCCAGCCCAAAGTACGTAACGCAATCGTATAATCTACGTCATTGCTTATATTCAGAATAATTCTTGCCGCTCTATTTTGCAGTTTTTGCAGTCGTTTTGATTGAGTTTCGCCAAATACATCCCATACTTCGCAGCAGTAGTCAAAGTACGGACGAACAATAGTGTTATATATCAAAATAAGTGTA